CCTCAGCCTCCCAAGCCACTGGGATTATGGGAGCAGGGCATTGCCTGGCTGTGGCCTGTGTTTTTGGTTGAACAGGATGAGGATTGAGGAGACTCAGGTCTTGATATCAGTTTTAATTATTATTTGCATTTACCTTTTGGGGAATAAACTCAGCAACCCTGTCACAGGAGTTTTAACGTATCAACATCTGACAGTGGAAAGAGCAGCAATTAAACAAATTCAATCTTCCACTCAGGGCAGAGGCGGGTAGAGCAGGATAAAGCAAAAACAGGATGGAGTCCAGAGTCCAATAATCTGGCTTCTAATCCTCAACTGATCACTCACTACCAGTGAGGCCTGAGACCAGCCACCTTGCTCCTCTTGGTCTAGCAACTACATCCTCTCCAAATACTCATCTAGTTCTGGAATGGAAAGCCTTTTAGGGCAGGATTTCTTAATATCTGATAGGGCCTAAATCCCAGAAAAACATACAAGTGATTTTTGCATAGTTTCATGGGGTTCTCTCATCTCTAAAAGCAAATCTGTATCTCTAACCCTGCTCTATAGTAACCTGGACACCAAGCTTCTGCTTGGACTCTTCCTGTGATGGAGAGCTCACAAGGTAGTCCATTACACTAGTGCTAGGAAAATAAAGTCTTCATATTAAAACAAGTTCTGTACACTATAATGCTTAACTATTGGTCCATGTTCTTCACAGTAAATAAGAAAATTCAAAAGTCCCTAATGAATGGGCGTGCCTGCCACGCCGTTCCCCGTCCCCAGCGCCGGAGATCCTTGGCAGGCCTAGAGTTTGCAGAGTGAGAAATGGGAAGTGGACCTCTGGAAGCATGAATACAGACATGCAGGAGGGCTGTGTGTGCTGTCGAGGTGGTGGGGACTCTGTCTAAAAGACCTGCAGCCAGTCTCCCCTGTGCAGACGAGCGTTCCCAATGGCCAGACATGCAGCGGCAGAGCCCAGCAGCAGAGCCCAGCGCGAAGCACTCACAGGAGCAGCCCAGAGTCCGAATGGCTGTGACCGGGTGACAGCTATGACAAGGTGACGGGTGATGCTGGGCCAGCGCACAGGGGCACTCAGACCAGCTCTCCGTTGACATTAGCATGAGGAAGGAGCTGGGGTAGTTATGGTCGGCCATGGAGGACAACCAGGACTCTCATCCCAGAGGGGACAGTGATTGTGTTTCTGATAAAAATAAGTTTTAAAATAGAGGAGGAAGAAGGTGATCCAGTTCCCAGCCGCTGTTTGGAAGGAGTGACTTTCAGGGTGAGCAGGAGGGCAAGGAGGCACAAGGACAGTGGGGAGGAGCAGGTGGAGGGCGGGCAGGGGGCGGGCAGCTGCTTCCCTGCTCTCTCGCAGTTCAGCAGGGGCAAGATGGAGAAGGACCTGAGCACCAGCTGCCTCTTGAGGCACCTGCGGCGGGCGCACCCCACCAGCTCGCGCAGGAGAACGGGAGTGTGTGGCCAGCTCCTCCCTGCCCTGGCCCTCGCTCCTGCTTCCTCCGCAGCCCGCGGACGTCGGGGACCTGGGCTCCGCACTCTCGCCCGTCAGACTTGCCCACAAGATGGCAGCTACGATCCCGTCCCCTGACCGCATGCAGGAGGAGCCCGGGTCCATGGTCTCTTCTGAGGTCTCTGATGTGCCGGTCACTGAGAAGTACAGCAGAGAGGAGGCCCTGGCGGGGACAGCTCCCCACCTGGCCCCACTCCACCCCGAGACTGCAGGGGGCGTGGCGGAGAGACGCCTTCGCCTTCCCAGGAGCACGTCGGGGTCCAGGAGGAGGTCGGCCGCCTGGAAGCATTTCTACCTGTCCCCGCTGGACAGGGCCGTCTGCGTGCACTGCATGAACGAGTACAGCAGGGGCAAGAACGGGAAGGACCTGGGCACCAGCTGCCTCATCCGGCACATGCAGAGAGCACACCGCTCCATCGTCCTCCAGGAAAACGGGGGCGGCTCGGGCACCCCGCCCGTGTACCCCACGCCGCCACCCTGCTGCCTCCGGACTTTATGTGGTCCTCTCCAGGAAAGCTGGTCCAAGAGGGCCCCTGGGCCTCCTCGTCCCCAGACAGACTGGCTGAGGACTTGCCTGGGGACCCACTAGGCTGGGACGTGTCCGGGCTGTAGTCCTTGGAGGACGTGGGCGAGGCTTCTATGGGCGCCTCTCCTGAGAAGCAGCAGGCCAGCGCATGGGGCCCAGGAGGTGCCAGCCTGGTGCTGTCTTCCAGCAAAACAAGAAGGTCATGAAGAGGCTGAAGTCGGAGGCCTGGCACCACTTCTCCCTGGCCCCCACGGACAGTCTGAAGGCCATGTGTCGCTACTGTGGCTGTGTCATCAGTCGGGGGAAGAAGGGGGATGTGGGCACCAGCTGTTTGATGTGGCATCTGTACAGACACCACCCTGAGGTGCTCAGGACCCAGAAGGGCTTTCTGGGTGCCAGTCTGGCGAACTCTCCATATGCCACTTTGGCTTCTGCAGAAAGCTGCTCCTCCAAGACGCCTGGCCTGCCAGCCGTGGTCAGGAGGAACCACCAGGCTGTGTTTCCTGTCAGCAGCAAGAAGACCTCCAAGCTGTGGAACCACTTCTCCGTCTGCTCTGCGGACTCCACCAAGGTGGTGTGTCTGCACTGTGGCCGGACCATCAGCAAGGGGCAAGAAGCCCACCAACCTGGGCACCAGCTGCCTCCTGAGGCACCTGCAGAGGTTCCACAGCCACGCACTCAAGGCTGATGTCCACCCAGAGTCCACCCTGTCCCGCTCTGCAGACGTCCGGGGACCACTGAGCACAGAGTTGTCAGGCACGTCCTCCTTCGATGACCCCAGTGAGAAGTTCTATGACTCTCACCCGGTTGCCAAAAAAATCACCAGCCTGAGAGCAGAGATGATCGCACTGGACCTCCAGCCCTACTCCCTCGTGGACAGCGCTGGCTTCAACAGGCTGCTGGGGTACCTGAGGCCCCAGTACTCCATGCCCCCGCCCTCCCACTGCTGCAGCAGGGCCATCCCGGGCATGTACGACAGCGTGAAGCAGACGGTCCTGTCCCAGCTGAGGGAGGCCGAGAGTGGCGTGGTCCACTTCACATCGGGAATCTGGACAGGCACCCAGAGCCGTGAGTACCTGACCCTCACTGCCCACTGGGTCACACGTGCCTTACTCCTGTTGGGCCAGGTCGCAGTATGTTGGGAGTCCACTGGAAGCAGCCTGTCTCATTGGTTGTGAAGTGGGGTGATCAGGTTTTAATTCATGACTGTAACGTTTTTTAAAAGTTAGGGGTCAGAAATGTGTTTTCCTAGAATGGAGACAAGATGTAAACAGTTTTATCCTGTAGGCTTTTTATTCAATTGTGTAAAAACCATGAATCGGGTACTGTATTTTAGTTAAATATTGCTTTAATTGCAACAAAACAGCTTTTGTGGCTGTGAAATGAAACCTGTAAATAGGAGGTGGAGCTTAAGCCATCCTGACTGAGCAGTTTTAACTGCAGGTTCTAAAATGTGTCGAGGAGTGGAGAGAATATTCTGGAAGCTAACTGTTTACCACAGAGACAAAGAGTTTGAAAACAAAACTGTGCTTGGGTGATTCACGGAGTGTGCAGTTGCAGTGATGTGGTCACGGACGCGTTCCGTTTCAGGTCTTTGCATTCAGGGTTGCACGGTGCGTTCATTCACTCAGAGGTCCCCGACTGTCCTGACTCCTTGAGATCGGAGTCCCATGTGTGTCCATGCTGGGGATTCAGCATGGACAGTGCAACAGGGGGCCCGTTGATGGAGCATCCCTGAGCAGTGGAGCTCTCTGTGCGCTGACCCAGGTGCTGGGACCACAGCCAGGCCCTGGAGGCAGTGGTGACAGGGTCGTCTGGCAGGCTACAGGGATGAGGCTAGCCTTAGGCGTTTAGATTTTTCTTATAATAGGGAAGATTCAGCCAGTTATAATAGGGAAGATTCAGCCATCACTGGGATATTTTAGAATCCCAGGACATCAGAGTGAAATTATAAGTTGTCATATACTTTTTTTTTTAATATTTATTTTTTAGTTATTGGCGGATACAACATCTTTGTTTGTATGTGGTGCTGAGGATCGAACCCAGGCCGCACGCATGCCAGGCGAGCACGCTACTGCTTGAGCCACATCCCCAGCCCTTGTCATATACTTTTAACAATATGTCTTCAAAGTGTTTGCTTTAACATCTGAAAAAGGTTCCTGTTCTACTTCAGACCATTGGGTGCTGTGGGTGAGGTGACCCGCTCCTCTGCCATGGCCCCCTAGGAAGCTGTCCTTCTGTTGAATACTGTACCTAAGCTCGCTCTCAATTCAAGTGGACTGTGCTTTAGTGTATTTATAAATGATGGATTCAGTTTCTGAAATTAAACTTTTTATTTGCGGTTTTCAAAAAAAAAAATTCAAGTTCTCTCATGACATCTCATCTCTCTGAAGACCATTTCTAAACTTTTAAGTGAAAATAATTTATGGCAGAGAAATGTAGATGAATACGCATGCAAATTATTTTACAGTGTGTCATTTCGAAGATATATTCTTCCACCTCACCTCCCCAGCCTAATATCCAAATATAGATGCTAAATTACAAGTAAGTGGCACTGCTGTTAATCTGCATGGCTCTGGGTTTTGCAAGTAGGGGGATTATTGAATAAAAATATCTTGAAAGAAATACTATAGTCTTGCGAAAAGCATTGCATTAAGAGTCAGAAGACTTGAAGTTGTATCCTGACTCCCATTCCAAATTGCATCATGGGGCAAGTCACTTAACCTCTCTGAATCTACTTCTCTTCTGCAAAATGCAACAAAACCGACCTCACGGGGATGCAGTGAGTTTTTAACAATATACTGTTCAGAAAGCTTCTAGTCCAAATCTGGCACAGAGCAAGTTCTCAATAAACAAACACTTGAACTCTGCAAGCGCAGATTCATTCCATGCACTCGGCGCTCTTTCCCCCCCCTCTCGAGTCGGAGTCTGCGCTCTGAGCTCGACTGAGGCTCCCTGGCTGCTCGCGCTCTTCTCTCCTTCTCCAAGATGGCGGCGGTCGGCGGCGCTGAGGCGGGATCCGGGGGAGCCGAGTGAAGGTAGCGGCGAGCGGAGCCCCCACGAGGCCGGGCTGGGCCCCCACCCCGAGGTGGCATCGGTCCCGGTCCGGCGCCACCCGCCGCCCTGGGCCCGCGACACCGCCGCGGGGGCGCCCCAGGCCCGCCGCGGCCTAGCCCTGGCGCCGAGCCGGGGACTGGAGTAGCGGCCGCAGCCGCCCCCGGGAAGGGGCTGGAGCGGGCCGAAGGAGGAAGGCGGCCGCGAGCTGTTCAAACGAGGAAGGCGGGAAAGCTGCGGGGCCGGGAGGGGGCGTGCGGCCGCCCCAGGGGCCTGCGGGCCGCGGCCGCCCCTCCCCCTGCCTGCGGCTCCGCCCTCGGGGGCGCCAGGCGCGCGGGAACCGGGCCGGGCGGACGGGTTGCAGGGCGCGGGGTCCCGGCGCTCGCGGGAGAGGGGCCGGGGCCGGGACCGGGGCGGCGGGAGGGCCGGGTCCTGGGCCGGCGGGAGAGGCTGCGCGGAGCTCCTCTTCTCCTCTTCCCAGAGCTTTGTTGAACTAGCTGTTGCTGCACGGCTGCCGGGAGAATCCCATTGGATTGCGGTGGGGACCCCAAAAATGGTGGTCCTGGGGGTCCGTCTGCATAAACAACCTGGTACTGTGTGCATTCTTTGCGTGCGATCCAGTTTGTGCCTTCGTAGCGGGAATCTTCTCCATACAGGCCCTTTATCCCTCTGCAATTATTACTTGTAGCTTCGCTTTATTTTAAATCATGCAAAAGAGAAGAAACGTCTGTCTCCCGTCTCTGCCGGCTAAGTCGGTGGCAGGTTCTTTGGCAGAGTAAATAAAAACACTCAACCCAAAGTAAAGCCTGTTGATCGCACAAGGCTTGTCAAAATTTGTATTGCTGGTCTCATGGAAATGTGTCTTGTCAGCCGATCTGTGCGGTGATCTGTGCGGTGGTCGTGGTTCTGCTAAATTGTGCTGCAATGAGAGGAGTCTATCCCCACCCCGGGCTGTGGGATCTGCAGCTTCCAGAGCTGGCAGGGGCTGTGAGTGCTGCATAGGTAGGTTCTTAGACAAGGGAGTGGCAAGAATTCGAGCCACTGCGTTCCAGAGATTGGAGGAAACCGTGAAAATGAGAAGACATCTGCTGCTTCTATCCTAGAACCAAAGGCAACAACAAAAGTTTCTAAACTGGCAACAGCTGGATGTGCATCTGTCTTCCTTTACCTGCAGTGAGTTCCTGAAAGGAGTGTTGGAAGAAGAGAAAAAGGAGAACAATCTTGGACAAAGCGCTCATCCTGGACTAGACCTGGATCTTAGGGTTTCACTTACTGCCCAGTTCACAAGGCTTAATTGGTTTCCTTTTTTCAGTTCTTATTTATAACCCGGGATGAAGCTTGGGGCTCAGATTATTTCCAAAAAATCACCTTCTGAAACTTTTTCAGTATTTACAGCTTGAATTTTCGAAATAACAAATACAGCATCTGATGACTTTTAATTTTTTTCAAAAATACTTGGGTCATCCAGAAAGCCTATGCCTGAATGCAAGCTGAATTTTTATCTCCAAGTGGAAAAGCCGCTCCACCTTCCCTTTTCCACACTGAAGAAAAGTCCCAGAAGAGCCAGTTAACAATTTGCACGTTTCCTGCGTGCGCTTTTTTAACAATGGCATGCTTCTTACTTCCATAAACAATATTAAATAATAAACTTTTACTTATGTTGTCATTTCTTAGCACACTGAGACAAACATGATTGTAGAACTGTTCCTGCCTCTTGAAATTGAAAATGTTAAATTTTAAACTCCCAAATCATGGAATTCAGGAGAATGTGTTTTAGCACCTATTTTACATTTGCCAACGTTTAATGTAATTATGTTTTCTAACGTGAAAAGCAAACCTAATTTTTTTTTCATTAATCTTCACAATCTTCTCCCTACCCCTGAACTCTGAATTTGTCTTGGATAATATTTAAGACCTGGAAGAAACATCAGGGGTTCATCCAACCTTGTATGAATGTTGCCTGAATTCTGCCTCTTTCATCCTGTTGCTTGAGACTTCTTTATCTGGTATCATCTTTCTTTTATGACTCAGCAACCACAACTAACCCCTGAGCTGCAATAATGCCCTGATTTAAAGAGCCTAGAAATTCTGGGCCAATTGGCCTTCCTAATCTGGGAGTACTGTAGTCCATGCTGTTTCTCAAGCTCTTGGCTGCCCCAGCCCATTAGTGAATTGGATTTGTGTTCAGGTCCCATTCATTTTTTTCTACAGATATTTAATCCCATAATTATGAAGTGCTCTTTGATATCTTTAAGAAGATTTAGGACTGGAGGTATAGCTCAGTAGCAGAACACTTGCCTCTCAGGTATTAAGACCCTGGGTTCAATTCCCAGTACCAAAAAAAAGAAAAAATAAACGATATCAGGCCTAATTCTCACACACAATGTCCACACCAGCATGTTTTCTGTGTTGGCCTGCCTCTGAGGGACAGTTGCTAATTTCTGTTCCTTTTTGCACCTTTTTTTTTTTTTTTCTATAGTGCTCTAGTTTTTCAGAGCAGTCAGGTGTGAGACAGGAGGGCTTTTTCATACCTATGAAGTCTTTCTTATACTGTCTGCAGAGACACTTGCTCCTGTTCCGACCACATTGCTTAACTCTGTTCTGAGTTTTGATTTTTGCCAAGGGCAGGCCTGCTTGTAAGTCTCAGAACCTGCCTTTGCTTATGTTTAAAAGTGCATGTTGTTTTGACCACAGATTGATGTCTGTATTTATGAGATTGAAGAAGTGTTTTTTGGTTTTGCCATTATTTCTCAAACATTCTTTGCCAAACCCATTAGACATGAAAAGCATTTAACTGGAGGTCTCAAGCTGTTTTGATTCTTTGGTATCATCAGCCTCTGAAAACCAAAGTGGCCTGTATATTTTTCTGATAAACTCTATGTTGTAATGCCAGTGAGATGATGTTCCATTCCAGTAGATATAATCCCTGTGACCCACCTTCACCCATTTTGGAGTCAGCACCATATGGGTGGGAAGGAGAGGATAGTGATTCCATTCAAGAAAAATTAGTATTTAAATGCAGGAACATGAAAACTGGCTGTTATCTATCCATGAGGCCTAACCTTATATCCCCTTCAATCCCCTGAAAAAGCCTTTTGAGCAAGCAGTTTCCCAGTTTGCCTTTGACCAATTGGTTTCTTTACTTCACTCCTGTGTCTCTTACCCGCAAGTTCGATCTTCAGTTCACTTCCCAGGGAGTGGAGAAGTACTTTTTGTTCTTCTTTTCTTGATCTTGTAAATCATTCTTGGCAATATCATTTTTCTTCTGTTTTCAATTTAGGCTTACCTTTGTGTTGCATTTTATCTAAGTGTACAAATAAGTCTTTTTTATGTTAATTTATGAAAGTTTCCCTTGTTAATCCAATTCATCTTTTCATACTTATTATTTGTACTTACCTGAAGGAATTACTACTGTGTCATTGAAGGATACTTCACTATTTCTAAATCCCATTTATAATGATGAAAATAAAATAAAATAGAAATAAATGACTGATCAGGTCAACTTTTAAGCATTTGACTAACTGTATGAGAACGTTTTCAAACTATTTAACACTTTATTCTATTTATCATGTAAAGACTTTTCCTGAAAGACTTGACACTGCTTGTCCTAAAGTCCTTGAAGGACTTGACCATCCAGTGCCGTGTACCACCTTGTCATCTTCAAAGTCAAATGCACATCTAAACTTGAATGCCAAAAGAAGTTCTAAAAATTCAATATGATATATAGAACATTTAAATTATATTAATTCTTCTAATCAATAAAAATCTTAAAATCATACAGATTTCATCACCTGTAGAAGACAAATGAAAGTTCTCCATGTTTTTCACCTAGCCTTTAAGAAAGGCTTGTTAGTGGTGAAAACTCACATGACTCACTACTATGAGAAGTGTAGCTACTTTTATATTTCTACAAACCAAAAAATTTAAAAGTCTTTAATATCTGTATACTGTTACTATTTCTGTTTAAGTTGCAATAAATTTTACTGGTTCTCCAATCCACTTGGTAGGATTTTCACTTGGTAGGGTTTTGTGGTCTTCAAGCATTTGGTGTAATCTGTCTTCCTCTGCATCTTGCTTTACCTGTGTATCTTGTAACCATGATTGAACCTACCCCTCTGACTTCATGTCAGTTTCTGCCCTGTCTCTATGTTGTTGGTCCTGTTGGCATTTCAGAAATTCTCATTAATTTTGGAATTAATTTTTATCCAGGAAGTATTTTATATACTTCTCCAAATGACAACTATGACTCAAATCTAATTAAGCTTAACACGCCTCCTACAATTTCAACCCCAGTATAATTACAACCAGAATGAGGAGGTGACAAGACACTCCTTTATTTCTTGCTGCCCTTCCAGTCGGCCCTTGGATCGCTACGCATTCCACCTGGAAGGTTGCCTCTCCACAGATTTCGCATTACAGGAGGGTTTTCCTTCTTTATTTCTCAGACCTGGTCCTGTAGACGGGAAGGAGCCTGGACACAGTGACACATTCTCAAAGGCCCTGCAGGACCGCCATGGCTTATGATGACTCCATGAAGAAAGAAGGTATGACCCCTTTACCTGAGAAGCGTTCCAAAGGGGGTATCCTCTTCAGTGCTCGCGGCCCAAGGATGTAGAAACCAGCACTGGACATCACAGCCTAGACTCCCAAGTGATGGTCCAGAGCACTGTTATGACCTCAGCCTCCACGCCCTCCCCAGACTGGGTCCATGGAAATGAAAACCAGGACAGGGGTTCCAACATGAGAGTCTGAAATATGAGCCTTGGTTTTTTGGGGTGATCCCCTGCAGCACTCTTGGTCCTGCCAGCTCCAGTGCAGGAGTCTGGGGATAGGAATCACACATTGGACGCCCACAGAGCAGCGCAGCACAGGAATCATTACTTTCAGCCTTACCTCTGCAAGTCTGTCTACCTGTCAAATCACAACTAAGAAACTATGTCTGAGGATGCACTTTGAGTCTTGCATAGCATGGAAACATTGTTTCTTCAGGTTTGATTCTTGTGTTTGCAGCCAGGTCATCAAGAAATATTCTTTTCCCTCTGGGTTTAGCCCTATATTCTAGTGAACTTATTGAAACATAATTGTAATTTAGAAATGGAGGCACTGTTACATTTGGTTGCTACTTACTTGTCATTCTCACTTCCTTTTCCAAATTAACCTTTGCTCAGATTGCTTTGATGGTGACCACAGCTTTGAGGACATAGGACTTGCAGCTGGCCGAAGCCAACGAGAAAAGAAACGTTCTTACAAAGATTTCTTAAGGGAAGAGGAAGAAATTGCTGCTCAGGTCAGGAATTCTTCCAAGAAGAAGTTTAAGGTAAGTTCTAAACATTTAAGTTAGAAAAGTTTTTACACTTATTTTCCTAATATTTGAAAATGAAAGTGTGTTCTTAAAACTTTAGGAAAGAAAAATAAACATTGTTGACATGTAATTATTTTCCATGCTTTACTTTGTTTTCCAAAGTCAAAAACCGTCAAAGAACGAGTGTTGTTCCAAACTGCCTTCCTCATCTCTTATTATTGGCCAATTCTTCCTTCTAATTGCAGGATAGTGAGCTTTACTTCTTGGGGACGGACACACACAAGAAGAAGCGGAAACACTCCTCTGATGACTACTACTATGCAGGTACGGATGGGCAGGGCGACAGGCGGGACAAGCACATCACTGGTTCTTGGAGTCGGGGTAGGGGAAAAGGTCCAGATGTTGCTGACTCAGTGGCCTATTTAACAGGACAGTGGTTCTTGTTCTGAGTGCCGATAAACCAGTGTGAAGGAGGAGAGAGGTGGAGGGCTGGTATTTTGGAGGATTCAGCATAGAAGAACAGTCTTCATTTGTGATATACCAGGTACCAGGTTCCTTCTCCCCCGTCATCCACTTATCTTGCACCATGTTATCTAGCCTCCCTTTTGCCACATGTGGTCCTTGGGCCCTCTGGCCTGCAACTGTGGGTCTTTTCTCAACCAGTATGTATCCATTCACAAAACCAGTTAGTTTTCTTGGCTATGCTATGCACATAGCTGATGGGACTAATGTTTTACCTTAATGAGTTTCTCCTGAGCACAGAATCAAATGACACTTTACCTGCGATCTAATGTAAATCGTAACTACCCCTAATCCACAGCTATAGTCGGTTCTTCTGGGTTTGCTCTCTGGTTGCTTGTGGAAGACTCAGTGAAGGGAAACAACTTTAGTGACAAGGATGGTCTCAAGGGTTGAAGACAGACTACCAAACCAGGAGGCACATGGGCGTCATCGCTGAACATTAGGAATCAAAGGGTGTCCCTTCAAATCACTCCTGTTAGCCTCTTCCTCATACTAGTCGGGTGTTTTGGTGAGAGAGGAAACTTGATGGACGTTGCTGCCTGTCCTATTGACAGTACTTCTCTTAATTATTTCCAGACATTTCGTCTCTGGAATCGTCACAAAAGAAAAAGAAGAAGTCCAGCCCACAACCTGCCGATACAGCTATGGACCTGTTGAAAGCCATCACTTCCCCACTGGCGACAGGCTCCAAGCCCTCCAAAAAGGCTGGGGAGAAGTCCTCCAGCTCCTCAAGCCATTCAGAAAGCAAAAAAGAACACCACCGGAAGAAAGGCAGCGGAAGTGGCGGGGAGCTCTCCCTGGAGGATGGCAGCTCCCACAAATCCAAAAAAATGAAGCCCCTCTATGTAAACACAGAGACACTGACCCTCCGTGAGCCTGATGGCTTGAAGATGAAACTTATTCTCTCACCAAAGGAGAAGGGAAGCAGCTCAGTTGATGAGGAGTCTTTTCAGTACCCCTCTCAACAAGCGACTCTGAAAAAATCCTCCAAGAAGTCAGCTCGGGATGAGCAAGGTGCTTTACTCCTAGGACACGAGTTACAGAGCTTTCTGAAAACGGCCCGGAAGAAGCACAAGTCATCCTCAGACCCACATTCGTCTCCTGGCCCTGAAGTCTGCGGGCCTGATGCCTCCCAGGCCCCCGAACCCCACAGTGCTAACCTTGATCTTTCAGGGCTTGAACCTATTCTGGTGGAATCAGACTCATCCTCTGGCGGGGAGCTAGAAGCTGGCGAGTTAGTGATAGATGATTCTTACCGGGAAATCAAGAAGAAAAAGAAGTCAAAGAAGAGCAAAAAGAAGAAGGACAAGGAGAAGCACAAAGAGAGGAGGCACTCAAAGTCAAAGAGAAGTTCGGGACTGTCTGCTGCAGCAGTGGGAGAGGTCACAATGACACCCGGCCCTCCTCCCCCCAGCGTCCCACACGCTGGAGCCGCTGCCCCTGCCCCACCACCTCCCAGCTTCCACACAGATGGGCACAGTGAGAAAAAAAAGAAGAAAGAAGAGAAGGACAGAGAAAGAGAAAGGGGGGAAAAGGTAACATGTTTTTTGAAGGGGGGACAGTGGGTAGGGGATGAGACAAGTTCTTCACATAGGAAGTGGACTTGGAGTTCTGCAGCCGAGGTGCACCTAGGCAAGTGCAGAGGGTCAGGGCATCGTGGAATGATACCGGTGGCCAAGTCTATCTGGTACACAAAGAAGAACCGATCCCAATTTGAATTACTAATGGTTCTCCTTAGCAGAGTTGTCCTCCCGTCGTGCCAGTCTGGGCTTAGAACGCTATGGCTTCTCCTAGCCACTCCTCCGAGTTCATGGGAAGAGCTGAGCCAGCCTCTTTCCTTTCCCTTAGCAGCAACTGTCTGGCAGTTGGGACACAGAGAGGTGTCCTCTGAGTTCATTTTAAAACTTTTTTTTTTTTTTTAAGAGAGAGAGAGATTTTTTTTTAATATTTATTTTTCAGTTTTCAGCGGACACAACATCTTTATTTTATCTTATGTGGTGCTGAGGATCGAACCCAGCACCCCGCGCATGCCAGGCGAGCGCGTTACCACTTGAGCCACATCCCCAGCCCCAACTTTTTTTTTTTTTTAAATGTCCTTTCAAAATTAGTAGAACAGTGACCAGTTAAGTTACAACAATTGGATTTTAGGGTCTGATGGCTATGTTGCTAAAGGTTTTCTTTTAAAAATGAGCTTTTTGTTCCTGTTATGGAGTAATATATAGAAATTTACAAACTGATAAAACAAAGCAAAGAAGTCTTATTCTGAAAATAAATATATTAAGAATTTGAGAATGGAAATTTCATTTCTATCTATGAGGTACAAGTTATTTCCCCACTTACAAGATGCCTTTTAAGATAAAGGAGAGAGAGAATGTGTACACACTTCAGAGTGGGGAGAACAAAACTAACCTCTGAGCCAAGATTCAATGTAAGCCTAAAAATCTGTATATTTAAATGCTAAGGCAGGTTTTATCCATCTGTCTGTCTGAAAGTTGCTTCATGAAGTACAGAGTGTATATTCTGTATGATTTTGTTGTCCCTAAGACTTTCCATTCTAGTGATATATGACAGTGCCATAAGCTAATCTCACAGTGCTGAATGTGGAGGTGCAGGGTCGTCAGAGAAAGCTAGAAGAAAAGAAAGGGTGTGGGTGGGAGGGAACACCACCAGAAGCAGAGAGGTGTTTAGGAACCAGCCTAGAAAAATACCTGACCCCCAGGCCTGTGTTTCCATCCGCCTGGTAGATATCTCCGTGTGGATGCCTTGGGTACCTCAAACCCCTGTATTGCTAATTGAGTTTGTCAACCAGGCCCCAAACCCCTGTGTCCTCCATTTCCTTCTATATGCCCTGTATCCTGCCAAACAACCCAAACTTCAATCTGTGTACTTAGATTTTTCTCAATATTTTATTATGAAATATTTTTCAAACAGTAAGAATTGAAAGATTGTATGATGAACACCATATACCTCCTTTGAGGGTCTCCAGTTCATATTTTGCTTTCTGCTTTATCATAGCTCCATCCACCAGTCTATCTTACCTTTTTTAATGTATTTCAAAGTAAGTTGTGGGTAGCGTACACTTTACCCCTAAGCACTTCAGCTTGACGTCAGTGTTTTCAGGGCTTTGTTTGTTCTATGAAATTCACATAAAATGAGAGAGGTTAGGTGGATGTTTGTTGAGTTTTGATAAATGCACAACCTGTGTGACCAGACTTCTGTCAGGATATAGACCTTACCATTGAGCCAGAGAGCTCCCTCCCACTCCCTTCCTGGCCAGTCCCCGCCCCCACAGCCAGCTGCCACTCATTCGTCTTCTAACTTTATGGTTGGCTTTTTTTTTTTAATATTTATTTTTTAGTTATCGGCGGACACAACATCTTTGTTTGTATGTGGTGCTGAGGATCGAACCCAGGCCGCATGCATGCCAGGCAAGCGCGCCTACCGCTTGAGCCACATCCTAGCCCTTATGGTTGGCTTTTGTTCTCTAGTCTTCCTCGATGACTTTTAAGCCTTTATTCATTGCCACTATCTTGGGCCTCATCCCTCCCTGTACTTGTGTGACAGATGGCTTCCTTCCCGCTGCTTCCCTTATGCAGTTCATCTTACACATTGGTTCCAGAGTGCTCTTAGGTACCCCTGCGATGACGAGTCCTCTGTGGGACCCTTACTACTGCGTGGGAGGCTGTGAGCTGCGAGAGCTCCAGCCCCGTGGCTGTCCTGCTCTCCTGCTCTCCGCTCTGCCTGTGCCTGTCCAGCCTCTGGCCCTTTGTAGTAGTCAGTAAGCACTTGTTGGATAAATAAACATCCAGGTCCAGACCTTGGCAAGCATTCATCATTGTCTGGATTTAGCCCTAAACCTACTTTTTCAGCTGCTTTCCCTCTTATTGGTTTATTTTATATACCGTGTGTGGAAATCAAACTTTTTCTCATACATTCTCATTTCTCTTCTTTTCCTCATTTTTGCAGTGACCTTCCCCTTCTCACACATCCAAGCTCTGCCTTCCCTTCAAGACCTTAGCACATGCCACCTCTTCTAAGACATCCCAAACCCATGTCAGAATTCACTTGTGAACTTCCTAGAACAACTTCCTTTCTTGTTGCACTTATTTTCTTCCTTATATTAGAGTTATCTTTGTAAGTATTCCCTCTGCCCTGTTAGACACCATAAGCTCCTTAATGATAAGCACTGTTTTAGTCAATGTCACTTTAACTCCTCCGTGTCCTTCATAAGCATTTGGTAAGTTTATGTCAGGCGCATGAATATATGGACAGAAACATGGTGTTGAAAAGGCCAGGGTGGGAGCAAACTGTGGAGAAGCTTTCATACCAAAATGAGGAACTTGGCGAGTTGTGGTTTATGAGCAAGCTTTAGATGTGATCCAAATGATAATTTAAAAATGAAATGATAGAACTGTACAAGATGGGTTAGACTGTGACAGCACTCAGGAGTTGCAATAGTCCAGAAGGTCTGCAGGGAAACCCTGAGGGAAAGTTGAAGAGACAGATTCAGAAAAGACTGAGGAGAGTGGAAGAGATCAGGCTTGTATCAGGGAAGCTGGAAACAAATGAGTATGGGGGGCAGCCCTTAACACTTTGAACCTGGTGCTTTGGAAAACAGTAAGCTTCTCAGGGTTAGAGACTTGCCCTGCTGTAATGCCCCTGGGTGGTAGCAAGTGCTAAGAATTTTAGTTCTAAGCAAGAACCTTAACATGAATTAATATTTGATAGTGACTGTCTAAAATGTCAGAAATAGTCTAACTCTGAATCTAATATTTATTTAGTCAAAAAAATTTATGGTACATATATCATGTTTTTTTGAGCCTAACTTGAGCATAAAATTTTCCTGTGATGCTTTTAAAGAGTATCCTTTTCCTAGGTTTGTTTCATATAAAAAAAAAAAAAAAAAATCTTAAAAGTTAGGAACAGAGTCCAACCAGAGAGAGAGGAGGCGCTCAGGGATAGCGTTCCCCCAGCCTGCAGTGAGCAGAGGCTGAAGAGCCACCCTAGAAGTGCTGATAACGAGGACTGACGAGAAGCTGAGGAGCAGAGCTGGTGTGGCAGGAGATAACATAGACTCAGGACAGCTGCAGAGCTGAGTGTTTGAGGGCAGACTGTGGAGCCAGACCGCGTGGTCCAGACCCTGGCTGTGCGCTTGCGGTATTAGGATTGTACCCGGGAATACTTTACCACTGAGCTATACCCCAGCCCTTTTTATTTTATTTTGAGACAGGGTCTCACTAAGTTGCCGAGGCTGGCCTTGAACTTGGGATCCTCCTGCCTTGGCTTGTTGAGTATTTGGGAATACAGGGATGCGCCACAGCGCCCAGCTGAAAGCAAATTCCAGTTCATGGAGAACTCATTGAGTATCTTGGTGTCTGAGATTTGCCTTGAAGAGAAGTGTGAAGGATTTTTTTTTTTTTTTTTTTAATTTGAGAAGCAGAGTGTAATAAAGTGGTACAAAGCTTGGACTGGGATTCAGCAGACTTGAATTCTTATCTGTCTGCTACTTGGCAGCTGTGTTCCCTTGAGATTGCTCCCTCAATTCTCTGCTCATTAGTAAAATGGGTTTTTTTATGTTAAATAGTGGTACATGTAACGCTTAGCATAGGGCATGACTCAGTAAATATTAGCTGCTGTTACAATTGCTGTTGCTTGCTTCTCAAGTTCTGCGAAAACTTAAAGTATGTGCAAAATTGTCTTTAAAACTTCTTTTTTAGCCACTCATTCCACATATTGGTTGACTAAGCTAGGAGACAGTTTTTATGCATTTAATAGCTCTTTCAGGGTAATACCCCAAACTCTGCAAGATCTCACTTATTTAGGAAAACAAGTAAGAGCACAAAGAAAACAAGGACTCTAAAAAGCAAAAGCAGATATTATAAAATGATAGTCCCACAATGCATCAGAGCTCATTGGAGAGCTTCATGGTTTCTGTGGGAGACTGTGATCCCTCTGACTCTATTCCTTTTTGAATTGGGGAATTAGTAACCAGTGTACTTCACTTACAAGGGTGTGGAAAAAAATCAGGTTGAGGTGATGGCAATGCCCATACACTCTGACCTCTCCCCATGCAGTTCTGAGGCTTTGTATTCATCCAGTACAGATTTTTTCTGCACTTAGATAGTGTTAGGCACTTTCCAGATGCTAATAGTACAAAAAGAAATAAGACACGGTATCTGTTGTCAAACAAGAGAGATCAGAAAATATTCGGTATGTTGAACTGCAGCAGAGGCATGAGTAGAGGGCTGAGGAGGACAAGGAGCCTGCATGACAGGTTCCCTGGGACAGGCATCATTGGAACCAAATGTTAAGGCCAAGTAGAAATTATCAGGTGGGAAAAGAAACAGGCACTTCAGTCAGCAGATGGAAAACATCTGTGTAGATGCGGAGACATGAGTGGGCATAGAGTGATCATAGGAGTTGGCGCAGCAGGCAGGAAGAGCTGCTTCGAGGCGTGCCCAGGAAGTAGGGAAGAGCTGAGCAGGAGTCGGGAAATCAGCCACGATGGCCGTACTGGGGCTCTTAGGTATGTTGT